ATATTAGGGAAATGTAACCTTTCAGGTGAAGTAATTTGGATGTCTAGCTTGCATGTACCTAGAAATTTACACCGAAGCAAAAAAATGATCCAGTTATTCTTAGAGCAATATGAAGAGGGATATATGTCAATTAAATCATAAAGTATTTATAAGCTTTTGTATGGGTGGCAATTATCATGATGAGTGTTTTTAGAAAAAGGTTTCTTATGATTAACTTCTTTCTTTTCACCTCACTGAAAGTTTAGATTTCTCAGATATTTTCAGTGTAAAATCCAGAGAATCAACAACAAAACACATTTGTCATTATCTTTTTTAGTCATCTTTACCAATGGGTAAAGAATGCCAGTGAATATGCATGCTCTACATAGAGTTGGAAGCAGGAAAATATAGAGATTAAAATTTCATTTGGTAAGTAAATGAGCAAATAATCAGAATGAATGCGATGAAGAAATGCCGATAAGTGTAGAAATAAAAAATAAATGTTTGTGTTCAGAATGCTAACAGTTTATTTAACACTGTTTGCCTCAAATTGTACAGTTACGCCTTCCACGTTTCAGCAGACTGTTAATTCTGATAAACGCTTATTAAGGTTCTTATTGGATTTTGCTCTGTGGTCAGAAACCCTTCTCCTTCCCCTCTGGCTATGACGTGGTATTAGGACCAGTTGGAGTTCATAGCTACACATTGAGGGTTATTTGCTTTATATTTGCTTTTCACTTTCTGCTGCAGAACTGTCGGCTAGGAGCTATGCTCGGAAGCTGTCGTGTTGAAAGGTGCAGCTGGCCTGCTACTGATCATTTCCCTAGGTTGGCTAGCCAGCTACATTAATCAGCAACCCATCAAATTGTGGGAGACGTAAGTAAAATTATGTTAGACCTTAGGTTCACATCTGAAATTGAAGTACTAGCATCAACGGTGCGTCTGTAAATGTGCTCTGACAACCTCATTTGAAATCTAGATCTGGTTACCACTACTTTTTAGCCTGGAGGGTTGAAAGTATGTTCTGAGAGGAATTTTCAAACAAGAATCCTGACCATTCGAACACACGAATGCTGTGAGAGAGAGCAAATTTACCAACATGGGTCAGGTGCGCAGCTCTGAAGTAAGAACAGAGTCTGACCCATCCTAGTCTTGTGATCTCGTAATGAGAACTTTATTCAAAAAAACTGAAAAACTTTATTCAAAAAATGCTGTCCCATGTTTTCATCTCTACCGAAACACAAAAAACACATTGTCATTTATTTTAATTAAACATAATTCATGTATAGCGTCCCTTAAAGCAAAGGATTTTAGTCTGAATTGCAAGTCAGTGAAAAGTCTGAAATTTTTTTGAACTCTGACTTCAAACTAGTTCAGTCGAATGGTCCGTTAATGTTATTGGGCCAAAAATATTAGTGCATCCCTAGAACAAATATCAGAATCAGAGTCAGAATCAAGCTTTATTGGCCAGGAATTTGGTTTTGGTTACACAGTGCACAGTATCAGACAAATATGTACATGAAGTGAATAAAATAAAATACAATACAAAAAAATAAAATAAAACATGCATTCCTACCATCACTCACTCATACACACACACACACACACACACACACACACACACACAGTCATATCTGTAACCTTTACATTGTGCAAAGTATGGGTCTAAAGTTAAAGTGCTGAGTGCAGCAGCAGTTAAAGGGGTGTATAGTGGCAAAGAAAGGGATCAATGAGGTGACAGTCAGATAAGTGGGGTAATATCCAGAAATGAGTTGAGTTTATCATTTATAATTAAGTCCAGGTTTGTCAAAGGGGGAGAGAAAACAGCAGCTCATATTCCTCTGGCTCTATGTCTGGGGCATTCTTTCCACACCTGGCTCTCCAGGCAGATGTTTTCAGCTGTTTCTGACACATACTGGAGCTCTTCCAGCCATAACAGCATGTTCACCTGTGTACTGCTAACTGTTACCTCGCAGCACACCCTGCGCTAATTGCCCCTCTGTGATTCTTTAAGATAACATGGCTTTGTCGCGTTCCTGATCATCAGGCCTGCAAATTTGTGGTTTTTGTCTCAGCTAGTAGGTGATGTACCTCAGGAGGCCTGTATAAAGAAGGAGTTCAGGTACAGAGAATGATTCTGCAGCATGTTCAGTTTTCATTTGAACCCACAAAAACTTGTTTTTTTGTGTTTTTCTTTCTCTTATATTTTTCTTTCTTTCTTCAGTATCAATATATCAAAGGATTGATGCAGCAAGGTTACGCTGTCAACACTAGAGGTGCTTACCAGTTAAACACAGCTTTCCAGTGCACTGCTGAAAAACACTTTTTCTGAAAACCTGCTGAAAAACACACTTTTCTGTCAGCTTTATTTCTCTCTCTCGCTCTCTCTCCTCCCCTCTTTTTCCTGTGTAAGCTGTGTGAAAGTGTGGGTGCTGTGTCATGTGTTCCGTTTGACTGTGTGGATATGGCGGGCTGTGCCGTGGTCAGTGGTGATTTAGTTGCAGGCTTTAGTCCAGCCTGGCTCTATTGTGCCTGAGGGGCTGCGGTGTCCGCAGGCCCGCTCTCTCTCTCTCTGCTCTCTGGAGGCCTCTGCAGCAGCAAAGCCAGTTGCTTCGGGTTAACGACTTCAGCTCCAGATCCGTTTTTATGAGAGGGCCGGCAAAAGCCACAAATACAGTGGATTTGTTTAGAGCGAGCGGCTCACAGGTGATGTATGAGCCAGTTAAGGGCCTGTCTGCTTCTCAAATCGCCGAGCTTTCCACCCTGATGTACTGCCCAGGGCCCGGCGCCTCTAATCTTTCTGCGCATTGCTATGGAAACCCTCACTCAAGGCCAGGAAAGTAAAATGGAAAAGAAATACCCCCACCACAATCTGATGGTTGTTCTTTTTTTTTTCCTTTCCCTCTTCTCTCTCTCTCTCTCTCTCTCTCTCACTCACTCACTCTTTCCCACTCCCTTTCTCCCTTTCTTGTTCTCGTTCTCTCTTTGTCTCTCTCTCTCATTCTGTCTATATCCTGCCTCTCTTTCTTGTTCTATTTCACTGGTTTTCTATTTCTCTCTTTCTTTCTCTCTGTCTTGTTCGCTCTCTCTCTCTCTTGCTCTTTCTTTTTTCTTTCTTTCTTACTCTCTCTGTCAAATTCAGTTTTCAAATTGCAAATAGCTTTATTGACATAATGTATTGCCAAAGAGATGTACTTACCAAGTGAAAGTAGTTACTAGTTCTTATACTAATGGTCAAACCTTATTCTCTGATGTTATTGTGTGCTATCCGGTGTCGACCAGAGGAGGATGGGTTCCCCTTTTGGATCTTGGTTCCTCTCAAGGTTTCTTCCTTTTGCTCTTAAGGAGTTTTTCCTTGCCACTGTTGCCATCGGCTTGCTCATGGGGGCTTAAACCTGGATTTTTCTGTAAAGCTGCTTTGTGACAATGCCTGCTGTAAAAAGCGCTATATAAATAAACGTGGCAATAAAGATGAAGAAATAACAAAATAAAATACATACATAGACACACAGACACTGTACACAGAAATGACATTTGAAATGACATTTAAAATTTTGAAACTAATACATACATATATATTAATATTAATATGTATGGATAGTGGCATATAATATAAATAAAACAAACAAATAAATAAACAATACATAAATAGTATATTTAAGAAGATAATGTTATCAGTGGACTTCTAAAGACCTTCCTAATAATCATTCCTGAAATTACATAAAGTGTTTGGCTGCGTCACTGTCCCGACTTATTCTCCAAGCACAACATAGTGTTTATCTGATAAATAAATACGTCTGATAAATAAGAAAATGTATTATTTATTTTTTCAAACTGTTCAAAGAATACTTCTCTTATTGATTGGTCTTTTGGGCAATGGAGGAGAAAGTGTGTCTGGGCTGCCAGGTTCTGTGATGTCTTCCTTTCTCCAGCCTGTGTTCACGTATTCTATATTTTGTTAGGATTTTTTTTTCCTGTACTTGTTTGATGTTCAGATAGTTTGCCAGTTTGGTGGTGCAATTTAGGAATTTAGGGACTGGTAGCAGTTTTACTTGCTGATTTAATTTATTTGTCCAAATTTCATTGTATATGAGAGTAAGAGTTTTGCCCATTAGTTTTATGCTGTTTATGGAGGGGGCAGAAGACAAACTTAGATGCTGAAGCTCAGTGAGCTTTTGTCTGAGCAAGCAGAGGATATGAGTTTCTGAGGACAGGTGATTGGTCAGAAGAAGTTTATTGAAAGGAAAGTTATTATCAATTTCCAATCTAAAATAAGCAAGATCTTGTTCAGTTATGAAGAACGCCACATATGACAACATTTAAGATGATCTTTCATGTCTGTATAAGACAAATTCCTAAGACTTTTATATCTTGGGTAACATATGCTAAAGATTGCAAATATGGCAATCAGTTCTGAATGTCCCTGCTACTGTGTGTGTGCGTGTGTGTTGCACACATGTATGGTAATTAGTTCAAAAAGTCCCTGTTACTGACCTCAGGTTAAATTTATGCATCTTTTATTCATGAAGTGTATTTCATTTATTTCATTTATTCATCTGTTTGACAGGGACAGTGCTCATTAATCAACAGATAAGAAAAAAAAATACTGTAAATGAGCCAGAGTTATCCCTATAGGCTATTGTGTGTGTGTGTGTGTGTGAGAGAGAGAGAGAGAGAGAGAGAGAGAGACAGAGAAGTACAAAAAAAGTCCCTGCTGCTAACCTTGAGTTGAACTAAGAATGTGTGTGCATGTGTGAAGCATTCATGTGCTTGTTCCATTCTACAAGAATCAGATGATCTGTCACATGCAACTAGTCTCTAATTTAACACTTATTGTCTGTCATATGCACAACCTGGAACCTAGGTTATGCTTTATTGAATTTGGATCAGCCTGATTGAGTGATAGCCAGTGTTTTACAGATCTTTTTTGGACATGTGTAGATGTGTAGCGGGTAAAGGCTTTCTCTCTCTTGCTCTCTCTCATTCACATTCTCTCTCTCCCTCTCTCTTTCTCTCTATAGAAAAGGATGAGACTGGAGTGATGGACAGCCTGCTGGAAGCGCTGCAGTCTGGAGCTGCTTTCAGAGACCGCAGGAAAAGAGCACCTAGGCCCCGAGGTGAGTTTCATCTCTTTCATCATCTCTCCTCTCCTTTCCCTCCATCACACACACTCCCTTTACGTCGCATTTATTTAGATGCACCCCTACCTCTCCAATCTTTCTTCAGTAATCCCCTTTTTGAAGAACACACCGTCTATCTGACCCCTCTAGTCATCAAAATTCATACCCTAACCTCTGCTTTCAAACAGGCCGTCTGTATGTATAATGTCATATTGTTGTAGCCAGCGTGGAGCCCCAGGGACAGCCCAGGAGGGTTGTTTTTTTCCCCTCCCAGAAAGGTAAGGGGAGCTGGGGGAGAAGGTGCCGTCTGCCCCCGGCCTATTATGACTGGCTTTCTGGCTCAGATCTTCATGCTGGCTGGCTGATGTCATAGCTGGTTACAAACCCGAGTGCCTCTAGTAAGCCCAGATCTGATCACACTGACGCCAGTCTGAGTCGATATGGGCCTTCTTCACGATGTGGACATGCAGGAAGACACACACAAGCACGCCAGCTTACACAAACACACAGTGAGATGTATGTTCTCCTCCAAACATACTGGCACACAATAAGATATATACTTGCCCATGCTCTCAGATAGGCTTGTAGTAAATAAATAAATGAAGTGCATCATAAATGGGCGCTAGTGCAAAACTGATCGTTACTACTGCAGACACAATGTGCAAAATGAAATCAATATTTCAGGAGCATCCATCTTAAGCTGCAAAAGTAGAAGAATAACTTATTATTATGCAGTACTGTGCAAAAGTCAGTGACCACATTCCTTTTATTTAATTTCCAGTCAAAATGACCATTAAGTACAAGTTATTAATTCTTAAGGAGATATTCAGAGGGGTTTAGATATAAGATAATGCACTTGCGTAATGAAGGAGAAAGTTGAAGGAAAATAAGTGAAAAAAATTAGAGTTTCCAAAAATTGACTTCAGTTTTTTTTGAAGATATAAAGAAAATGAGACTAATAACAACCGTGGTAGCCCACTAACAGTCACCATCAGATAAACAACACTTTCATCTTTGAGTGACAGAAAACAATCAAGCTCTACCCTTGCTTCAGATCTGAAGAAATCCAAAGGTGCTCAAACAAAGAAGTTGCTGATGTTCTCAAAACACCCCAGTGGACACACAAGAGTCCAGAGCTCAACATCATTGTATATGTGTGGGATTACTTGGATTGTGAGAAGCAGAAAATTTGACCAACGTCTAAGACTGAACCTTGTATGTGTAGAAAAATGTCCTTGCTGATCACCCAAACGAAAGAAAGCTGTTTTAAAGGTTTAATAAAAAGGTTTTTAAAAGTTTAATACTTCACCTTTATTGCACTTCACATTTAATACTGAAAAATAAGATATTATACTTGTGTAATTTTCTGTTATGTAGATGTTTTCTTGATGCTGAAAAGAATAATTACTTGTAGTTAATGGCCATTTTGACTGGAAATCAAATAAATGAAGCGTGGTCTTTGACTTTTGAACAGTACTGTATGAATAAGCTCAGGACAATTACTCAATAGTGCTTCCTATATCAAAGAAGAAGATCAAAAAGTCAGAATCAACTCCCCACTGACAAAGCACAATAGCCTTATCACCTCGCTATGGACAGTGATCGGAATATACCCCACTACACTGTAAAGAAATCAACCCCCTGTTGGCAAAAGCATTCAGAATAATAACCTAACTATCAGACTGGAGCAATCATACAGCCTGGCTGTATGAGGTGAAATCAGTCCCTCGCAAAAGTATACAGTGCCTCCATTCTCACAGACGGTATGTTATTAAATGCTGTGTATGTGCACGTATATGTATCTTTCTTAGTCTCGCACTCATACGTTATCTGTCTGGTGTTCCACAGATGAACCACCTCAAACGGTCAGCCAAAGGCCAGTTCTGAAAGACTGCAACCATGGTAAATAGAAGAGCAAAAAGAAAGCGTCTCTCTCATCTGTGTGCTTTGCTCACATTCTCCACTTCTGCGAATCTAACCTTAGTCCTTGTTCATTAACACCGTGCTGTTAGTCTTTTTCCATCTCTGCCACCATAAAGGCATTATGAGCTTTGCTTCATTCTTCAGCCACTGAGATCTTTGGGAAATTGAGATTGATCAAGCTGCTTCTCTAGTCTGTTCCAAGCTTAGTAACACTACCCGTGATTGTGATACATGGCCATTCATTAAGCCGGTTAAGAATTTGGCACCTAGCGTATCTGTGAACGTGAAAACTGTTGAATGTTTCACATTATGTTTATAAGTCTGGATGGGCAATATGGCAAAAATGTACAAAAAAAACAATGTACAAAGTGCACAAGGTATTTTCATGGTATAAAATTGTTTGCACACAATTTGGAATGAATAAAATCCACCAGCACAGCAGTTGGCACATTTTATAGAGGCTGCGAAAAGCTGGATACACATATAATATGATTATACAGTTTGTAAAAAGAAACAATTTGAAAAGCAAACAATTAGTAAAATAAGATAATGGCATAATGGACGGACATCCAATCAGCTACTTGCTACTATACAGTTACTGTAGTTAGTCTAAATTCATCTTTTTTATGGTGCATGCACTTGTTCAGTGTTTTAGAAGTAGCATAATCAGAAAAGCATATTGTGAGGTAATTGATCACGATGCCAATAACACATTGTCGTATTGCTCCTATGCCTAAAGGGACATTCCGGCCAAAAGCTGGAGTTTAATGTTATTTGTCGTGTTATGCCCTATTCACTAGCACAGCATTAAATCCCTTGGTCTTATCGATTTGACAGAATTCATGATTTTCATGTTTTCATTCATCAATGTTCTTTCACTACAAAACCCAGCATTACACAAACACATCATGTTACCCCTGCAGTGTCAACTAATCGTGATGGCTAGTCTAGCCACTGATCTGTTGTATGTAATAAATACAACCAAGCTAGCATTAGTGTAACTCTTACCTCTGGCATCAAACAAAGTTGTAAAGAAAACAGCAATAATATCTTTTTTAGCATAGTATGGATGCCAAGGTTTTTTTCCAGCCTGAAAATAGGACACAAACTGAGGTAACAAATCCAGATAGCCAGCTATTTTTAACTTTAGCTTTTAGTTTGTGCTCCTCTTCTGATGAGTTATTTCTGTCGTCTGAGTAATCCATCCTCTCCATTGTAATGACAATTAATAATTATATGGTTACTGTAAGATATTTGACTTCCTAGCTGTAACATAGAAATAAAAATCCCCCTAAAAATCCACTTGTAGCAGTTATAGTTCCTCCTACTTCCAAAATACGACATCAGAAAGGGCTTTTCCAGAAATCTCACTCTAGAGACTACTGCTACACTGTTGTTATGACGAGTAGACATGTTTACAACAGATGTAGCAATGATTTTATTTTGGCCGGGGTGTCCCTTCAAGTTCTTCCACCCATCAAGGTGCTTTTCAAATGTGCTTTGCCTCATAAATATGCTTTGGCAGGCTTTTAAACCAGTCAGATATTTTTGCTTTAGGCTTCATGTCTGGTTATGTGTCATCATTTAATAGCTTTTAAAAAGTGCTCTTGTCCATGGATGCCTGCATGACGGAGCTCTTCTGCTTTCTCTGTCTTCAACAACCGTCGCCTGTGTGTTTCCAGCCAATCGCGTGGCTCACAGCTTTCCTAGCCTCTCTGGCCATGATTGGCTCTTTGGCGTGGGTGTTTGAGCTTTTACTGAGCAGGGATTGTTGCTAATGTGCATGCATTAGCTCCGGTGACAACTGAGTGTTAATGTGCTCTGGAGCTGCCCACGGAGACTCGCTGATCGCCCACCTGTCAGAATGACACTTCACAAGCAGCCTGCCTGCTAGGATGTAGTTTTACTGGCCTGATAGCAATGGGAGCCAGGGGAGGGGTGGTTTGCTGAAGAACTTCACTGTCATGCTTAGAAGCTCCACGGCTTTGATCCATGTTTGCTACCCAGTGAGATCTGACATTAGCAGGTAGCATACAGGTGACTGATAGGGTGAACTTCATGGTAAGAGCTTAATCTCTAGCCTTTTTAACAGTATGTTAGAATGTGTAATAGCATACTTGTTAAACGTGGCGAAAGCTCGTTCCAGCCGAGCATGGCGGCGCCTTCAACAGCTGACTGTCTGCCTCCACTGAGCCTTTGCGGAGACTTGCTAACTGCTGAATATCTTCATGTGACCTATCTGCTTATGAAGATATTGAAATACTAATGAGTCTAAATTCAATTTCCCAATATTATGTATGGTAGGGGCAGGAATATAGTGCTTCATCAGCACGAGATAAACAACAGTGGCTGCCTTGTCAAGGTTGCACCATAATCGTTATTGAGGCACTTAAAAAATTAAGCTGTAACCTTATTAGCCTGTTATTGCTTTTAATAGGAGCCTGTGCAGCTGGTAGAGCAAGCATACATGAATACAATTACCGAGTTCTCCTCCCACTCTCCACCCATAGTACTGATAATGTCTCTCTGCCTCTCTCTCTCTCTCGATCTCTCACTGTTGCTCTCTCTCTTGCTCTCTCTCACCCGCTCGCTCCCTTTCTTAAATTAGATCGGAGCGAAGGAAGACAGAATGAACCAAAATGGAGAGAAAATTAAATACATGAAGGAAATTAAGCTAGTGATTTAGATAGAGGATAGAGGGAAACAGAAAGAAGGCACGTGTCCTGATGTGATCCATCAGCGGCTTTGTGCTCTTCTCACACATCCTACCGGCAAAAAGAAACGAAGGGCACAGTGCATAGTGGGACGGCTCGTGCCGCTGGCCCCCTTGAGGGCCGTGATCCTCTGAGGTTGTGCTGAGGACGCAGGCGTCTCTGCCCTTGTCTCCGCGCTCTCTGTGCGGCCCGCTGACTAATTGAGCCCCAGGCTTTGCCATGTCGGCGTAGGCCCCAGCTCCAGCAGGCCCCGGCACAGGCCCGGCTAATTAGCTCTCATCTCACACCAGGCTGCTGTCCCATTCATCTTCATTTTCACTCTGCCATCTGCTTTTTAAATAAAAACTCCACAGTGTCACACTCACATACACTCTCAGCACGTTCAGGCCCCTGGCCTGGTCCCCTCGGTGCCCTACCTCGCGGCCCAAACTTAATTACTGTTTTTTTGCACAGCGCCATGTGATGAGTCCGCGCATTTCTCTGGAGATTTGTGTCAGGCAGGAAGGTATTTGCGTGCACGTGTTGTTACTGTAGTGCTTGCATATGCATATGTGATCGCTGTTGCGCTTACTCAGACTCAATTAGAAAAAGCTTAGCTTAAAAAGTACTTTCTCAAATAATTGGCAGTGATTAGGTAGCAGTTTGCATAATGATTGCAAATTTTAAAATTCCTAAAGTCTTAAAGACTTTCTTGTAGAAAATAATTGGTTGGTTACTCAATGCTAATAGTGTTGATAGTAACAGCCTTAACGTGCATTAGGGCTACACAGTATAGACAAGATACAATGCCTCCGGGTTAAATTGCATGTTTTGTTGATTTTGAAAATGTGAAAATGAGTTAACACATCCCCACAGGGAACAAAATGCCATTGTCCTGCAAATGTGCTATTTTACAACTTCTATTTAACTGCTAATTTAACATATTGAAAAAAAACACAGAAAGCACAGCTTTTATTTTTTATTCCAGTATATTAAAATCAGCAGATGAGCAGAAGGGAATTCTCTGTAGAGGATGTGCAACTTTTTTTCGCTTTAGATAGTCAACAAATGTCATTTGAAAAGGGGTGTCTAAACTTCTGCACGTGATTGTGTATTCGATTATATGCAATTTTATACAGTGTTAGTCCAACGAAATCAGCAGATTTGTGCTTCGTTCATGTAAATATGCAATCAGTTTGTTTTTTTTTTAATGCTGACCTTGCGTATTTTTATGATGACATAATATGATTATATAAACAGTACGAGTGAGGTAAGTGCACTCTGTGTGCTGTATTTCAATGCTGCTGCTGCACCTATAGCTAACTCTAAGTGGTAGCTTGTAGCCACTTGTAAGCATGATATCATTTGTCTAATTTGTTTTTTTTTCTTTTAGTTTGTGACTGTCCTATCAATTCAATTGTAGTTACAGTGACAATTGCTTCAAAAATAAAGTTAGAAATTAGTCATAAGTTAAAATGATGTAGTTTTGAGAGCGAGGAATTGAAGTTAAGATCATAAATAGGCAACAGATTTTTCACTTCTATAATTACAATACCACTGTGGCCTGTTAAAGAACATAATGTTATTTATATTGTGACTCTGGCTGGTAGAAAGTTCACAGTGCAACTCAGAGTGAGCTTCAAATAAACAACATACTAATATAAATCATTATCTGTTCTTGTACAATGTCATTACCATCATGACACATTCATGTACACTAGATTTCGTCTGCATTGTTCTGAACAAAGTTATTTATGTTTGTTGGAATACATCCCTGGAAATTTACAGAATGTTTTAGGCCAAAAACGTACTTGGCACAATTATGTGAATGCAGTGAAAACACCCCGCCAACACATTGCAAATGCATGGCCCTTCTATGTGAACTCAAGTGTTCTTACGTTACTGTGGCTGTGAAACATTCAGTACTCAAGGGGTCGATACAGGACAACGGGGATCTACTTTCATTCAACAGCCACAACACCTAAACATGTGGGCAGTATGAGAGAGTGAGCTACTTTAGCAGCATGAAGAGGTGATGATATATCACATGTTTTAGAGCAAACCATTTCCGCCAGATACTCCTTCAACTGGCCGCATGACAGTTGACCAGAAGAAAACACACTAGCAATGCAAGGCCAGGCTTGGCTCAAGTTATATCTCCCCTTACTGTAACACTGAAAGCGCCTGCACATTCCGTGTATGTTTCTGGTCTTAAACTGCATTCACACTATTAAAGCATCAAATTATTTTCTGATTCAAGAAAACCTGAAATACAGACTACACATT